TTTATAAAAACTCTTGCAGTCTGTCTTTATGTTCTTCGTTAGTTTGCCCTCATATTCCATTTTTTTCCTCTTAATCACTTTTTTGGTTCTCCTTTGTTGATCCCTAAAGTTCTCCCAATCCTCGGGTTTACTCCTCATCTTAGCTGTTTTATAGGCTTCTTCCTTTAACTTTATACTGTCCCTCACTGCTCTAGTGAGCCACGGTTGGGCCACCTTTCCTGTGGCATTCTTATTCCTCAAAGGAATACGTGCTCACTGGGAATTTTGCACTATCTCCTTAAACGTCTGCCATTGCTGGTCTACTGTCAAATCCTTCAGTCTAATTTCCCAGTTTATTTTGGCCAAATCCTCTCTCATACCAGAAAAATCAGCTCTACTTAAATTTAAAAACTTTGCTTTGGACTTAACTATTTCTCTCTCTAACTTAATGCTAAATTCCATCGCATTATGATCACTTTGCCCTCAAGGAGCCCTAAGTTCCAGTTTGCTGATCAGCCCTGTTTCATTGCACAAAACAAGGGCTAATATGACCTGTTCCTGGTCGGCTCCTCGGCCACTGATCTCCATAATTATCCCTAATACATTCTATAAACTCTTCCTCTATCATATTTTTCCCACTTTGGTTGTCCCAATCTATGTGCAGATTAAAATCACCCACAATTAATGTTTTTCCTTTACTACAGCTCTGCTAATTTCCTGATTTATACCTTGAGAGATACTGTGACTGCTGTTCGGGGGTCTATAAACTACTCCCACTGGAGTTTTCTGCCCCTTGTTGTTACGTACCTCCACCCATACTGACTCCACTTCCTGCTTTTCTGATTTAAAATCTTTCCCCTCTCCTATTTTTATCCCATCCTTTATTAGCGGGTCCACCCCCGCTCCTCGTTTACCACATTGCCTATCTTTCCTACACACCACATACCCTGGAATATTTAGCTCCCACCCTCGATCTCCCTGTAACCGTGTCTCGGTGATGACTACCAGATCATACCCGTTTGTTTCTATTTGGGCAGTTAGTTCATCTCTCCTGTTTCGAATGCTTCGCGCATTCAGATATAGCGCCTTTAATTCTGACTTCGGGCTATTAGTCCTATTCACCAGTGCCCTATCCCTGGACTTCCTTTCCCCGTTTGACACCCTTTGCTCATCTCCCTGGTTAATCTGCTCTCCCACTTTCATCTGTCCTAATTTTAATTGTGATGGGATTACATGTGATTGAATTAAAGCCCTGTCTACCTCCCTATTTATTCATGTTGCCAGGACATTTGTCCCAGCCCTGTTTAGGTGGAGTCCATTCCTTTGGAATAGCTCCCGTCTCCCCCAATACTGGTGCCAGTGGCCTATAAAGTGAAACCCCTGCGCTCCGCACCATTCTTTTAGCCAGGCATTCAGCTCTTTATTTTTTTTTGCCCCCGGCTCAGGTAATAATCCCAATATTAATACCTTTGATGTTCTACACTTTAGCTCAACTCCCAATTCCCGGAACTTGCTCCTCAACTCGGTCCTCCCTACATCATTGGTCCCTATGTGAATCATAACTATTGGATCCACTCCCTCCTGCTTCAATTTTTTCTCCAGCCCAGAAGTGACATCCTTCACTCTGGTCCCAGGAAGGCAACTGAGTCTTCTTTGTGGAGTCCTGTAGCTCAGTGGTTAGAGCACTCGCTTTGCAAGTGAGAGACCTAAGTTCAATTCCCAGCAGATCAGGGTGAAACCTTGGGCAAGTTTCCTTACTCCACACAGAGCCTAATAATAATCCCTCCAAAAAACAATAATAAATTGGTCATTTTCAATCTACGACTGTTTGTGGGACATTGCTGTGCGCAATTGGCTGCCGCGTTCGCCCACAAATATACAGTCAATTCACATTAGTTATTCTGTGAAGCGCTTTGGGACGTCCTCCCGACGTGAAAAGCGCTATATCAAATGCAAGGATTATTATTATGGCTGCAGAAAAGTGCGTCAGTCTTCCTGACTGTCTCATCCCCAATTACCACTATATTCTTTCTGACTATTCCCAGTGTGGCCTCCTGTATAGAGGTGTTGGGGTAAGTTTGCCCATCTTCCTCACAGACTTCCTTGTCGACACAGGTTGCAAGTATTTCATTGCTGTTGGGCCTGGGGTTCCTCTGCCCTTCTCTTTCGGGTCCTCTTACGCGCCTGTCTGACCCTCACCCAGTCCTGCCCGTTGTTGGCAAAGGAATGTTCCCTGGGACTCGAGGGAGTGTCTGGCTCCAGTGAAACTGTCCAGGAAGCTCTCCCCATCTCTAATGCTGCGCAGTGTCTCCCCCTGAGACTCCAGCTCAGCTATTCTAAGCTGGAGCTTCCTCAGTTGCAGATATTTGTTGCAGGTGAAGTCACCCGGGCTCAGGGCCCTCCATCAACACCCACATACCACACTCCTCACACGTCCCCTGCCAGGCCATTCTCACCTCTCACTCTATTTATCCCTGTATTATTGTCGTTTAGAAGATATACTTACCCTCTGCACCCAATTCCCACTCTCACCCAATTTCTTCTCGCCTCACTCCAGACATAGCTCACTCTAGGCTCTCTGCTCGAGTAAGGCTCTCCCAGCGATCCCCTGTATATACCCCCTGGATGCAACAGTTTCCAATTGGTCAGCAGTAATTTAGAATTAACACCTAATCAAGTGATTAATCAGTATGTTGCTGTTATTGGTTAAGTCTAACTCTAATTAGCTACAACCGCTCCCTGTAGAGTTTCACCACAAGACCAATCTCCCAATGGTATCAACAGTTTTAACAGTTTTTAGTAGCACAATACTTGAACCCTTGAATACTCACGATAGCAGCTTCCACAGCAATTACCACTCTCACCCAATTCCTTCTCACTCTGGCCTTGCCTCACTCCGGACGTAGCTCACTCTGGGTTCTCTGCTCGAGTGAGGCTCTCGAGGTGTCGAGATCCATTAAACTAATGGAACAGACTTGTTGCCTGAATGGCCCTGGCGGGTCCTGTTCCTATTTTTCCTACGTTCATCTTGCATCCGAGATACAGTACTTTCATGTTGGCAGGACGTCTCAAAGTGCTTCACAGGATTTACTGTAAAGTGTAGTGACTCGGTTATGTAGGGGCAGCTAATAGGGGCAGCTAATTTGCACACAACAACATCCCATAAAGTGAGCGCGTGATTTTATCTGGGGGATTTTTGGCCAGGACACCAAGAGAGAGAAACTTCCTTCTCATCTTCCAAAGCACCGCGGGATCTTTAACATCCACCTGAACAGGGTACTGACTGGATTAACGTCTCATCCGCTGTACGTCGTATCTGACAATGCAGCGCTCTTTCCCCTCAGCGCTGTATTGTATTGTAGGGTCAGCCCGTGACCACATGAGTTCAATGTCCTGACAGTGGAGATTGAACCCATAACCTTCTGACTTGGAAGCGAGAGTCTTTCTTACGGAGCCAGGCTGACACCTTTACTCTGCAAATAAGTAACCTAACTCAACTCCACCAAAGAAGAATTCTCCCTGAATTTGTCGCCAACTTAAATGTTAAGACAAGGTGGTGTTTGGGGCTGAGACTGGGTGAGATTTCCAGGCTCGGGAGCAGGAAGTCGAGTGAGGAATGAGGCGAAAACATACAAGGACCGAAGACAATATTTTCAGGCAGCTAAAAGGCACATTGTGTGATACTGGACTATTTTTATTGTACCATGAGTGAGATAGGAAACTCAACACAAAACAGCTTCACATCACCTGCCACTCTGGCACTGAGGATTCCCCCCAAGGCTAGTGAAAAGGAGAAGCAACTTTCTCTCTCTGTTTCCAAGCATCCTGGAACACAATCCCCCAGATATATATGACATTGGAATTTCTGTCTGGAGAACAGTTTGTTTGCAGATGCCAATTACATGGGTTTGGATATCGCCTCAACAACAATTTGCTATTAAATAATCTCGTAAAAAAAATAATCCATGACTGTTTGTGGGATACCACTGTGCACAATTGGCTCCCATGTTTCACCCTCAAAAATGTGCAGTCAATTCACTTTACAGTATATTCTGTGAAGCACTTTAAGACGTCTCGACACGTGATAAGACGCAATGTCAAGTGCAAGGGTTATTATTATTTATACAGCGCCTTTCACAGCGGGAAGACGAGTCAAAGCGCTTCACAGAATTCACTGTTTTGTAGGTGACTGAGACAGCCAATTTTCACACAGCGATGTCCCTAATTGCAGTCATGTGATGTGATGAGGTCCCACTAACAGCCGTGAAGTGACCCAACTGTCCATCGCTTTGGGAGTCCTCCCGACGTGAAAGGCGCTCTATAAATGGAATCTTGTTGTTGTGGTTGAAGTGAGCCCGTGATTTTATCCGGGAGATTGTTGGCCAAGACACCTGGAGAGAGTGAGAGAGAGAAACTCTTGTCTCTGTTCCCGATCGTTAACATCCACCGGATCAGGGCAGTGAGGTTTAACATCTCATCTGAATGACGGCGTCTCTGACAATGCGTCTCTCTCTCTCTCTCCGGGCTGGAGCGTCAGCCTGAATTGTGAGCTCAGAGTCCCTGACTTGCGGTTTGAACCCTCAACCTCCTAACTCGGAGGCCAGAGTGCGAGCTCGGCAGCTGAAACACTGAGCAACCCAGAAAATCGGAGACCAGAATACCAGCAGCTCCCTGGCAAATACCGTCAGTGTCACTATCCCAACACACATGTGGTATACAGCACCCTCCCGTTACATATCACTGCCTGACACATGTACATGTCGCCGTTTCGATGTGTACACAGCAGCGTGGTCTGGGCACGATACCCTCGCTCTCTCTTTGGCTTCACTGTCCTTTTGATCTCAGCCACTTGTGTTCTCTCCCCTCACATACTCTCTCTACCTCTCCGCTCACTCTCTCCCCACTTTCTCTTCCCCATCTCTCAGGGCCTGCATACTTGCCCTCCGCTCGCTTGTTCTCTCTCTCTCTCTCTGGTACTCACTTTCTCCCCTCTCTTTGTCTCTCTCTCCTCACCTCCTCAAGGCACGTCTCAAGACCCTCTTCCACCATGCCTTCGATCACCCTCCTACCCCGACCCTCACTACTCTCCACACCCAGTTTGGGTCTGACTGTGCAGTGCCTTTGGACGTACTTCCGACACGAAAGGCCTTGTGTAAATGTCTTTTGTTGGGGTTGTTTACCCGCTTTTCGATCGTGCCTGAAGATCTTCCTCTTCGACCGTGCTTCCGTTCACCTTGCCCCGGCTCAGCATCAGACTCCGAGACGCTGTCCCGGGTGAAGGCTCCGCAAGTTGTTATTGTCCTTGCCGGTCGGGTCGGAGGTCTGAAGCCGGGTCTCGAGTCTCGGATATGTCTCCGCTCACTCTGCCTTTTTCAGGGGGGTCTTCATGGCTTCCATCAAAGGTCGGCGGGTGAGGGGCACGGCCTGAGCCAGTGCGGTCAGCACCTTCCCGTGCAGCAGTAACAGTGCAGTCTGGTGGATGGACGCCCAGATCCGGTAGCAGGCGCCATAGAAGGGGTCCGAGACAGCCGGGCACAGCATGTTGTTCAGGTTCACCTGGGTCACCTGGAAAATACAAGGAGCCCATTACTGTCACCAGTCACACAGCTACAGCACACTGTCTCATACTGCTCGCTCCCCCACTCAAACTCTCTACTCTAACCCCATTCCCTGCTCTCTCTCCCATTGTGTCTGTGCTGGGGCTCGCTCCCCCACTGGAGCTCTCTAACCCCATCCATCTGAACAGGCAGACGGACCTCGGTTTAATGAACCTCTTTTAATGTTCATCCATTTCCTCATTTCATACCCTGTAATATTGCACAATGTAGCAATCCCCAGCACTACACTGGAGCATCAGCCTAGACTGGCCTACACCGGGGGCTTGAACCCAGTCTTCTAACTCAACGGTGAGAGTGTGCCAAACCATTTCCACACAGTGCTCCATCTCTTTCACTGTGAGGATATTGCACACTGCATTGTCACCTCTCTCCCAGCAAAGGGGATGGGAGTCCTGAAGGGTATTGGTTAGTCCGTTTGCCTCTCAAGTAAGGGGACCCGGGTTCAAAACGTTAGGCAAGCTTCCTTACTCCTCACACCTCTGTTTACCAGCAGTAAGTAGGAACCCAGTTGTTAGTCGCTTGGCAGATCACATTCCAGGGGAAATAATCCCCCCAATAAATAAATACAATTTGGTCCCTTCAATCCACGGCTGTTTGTGGGACACTGCTGTGAGCAATTGGCTACTGCGTTTCGTCCACAAGATAATATAATAATAATCTTTGCATTTGATATAGTGTTTTTCACATCTTCTCGACGTCTCAAAGAGCTTCACAGAATATGCTGTAAAGTGAATTGACCGTATATTTGTGGGCGAAACACGGCAGCCAATTGCGCACAGCAATGTCCCACAAACAGTCGTAGATTGAAAATGACCAATTTATTATTGTTTTTGGTTTTGGAGGGATTATTATTAGGCTCTGTGTGGAGTAAGGAAACTTGCCCAAGGTTTCGCCCTCTGCCTGGAATTGAACTCAGGTCTCTCGCTTGCAAAGCGAGTGCTCTAACCACTGAGCTACAGGACTCCACAAGATACACAGTCAATCCACTTTACAGTGTGTCTGCCCTGTGAAGCGCTTTGAGAACGATGTGATAAGGCGCTATATCAAATGCAAGGAATATTATTATTAAGCGTTGACTCACCATGGCTAAGGTCTGCAGCAGTGTGAAGTGATAGAAGAACAGCAACCCTGTGGCCAGCACAGCCCACCACATGTCCCCAAAGGGCTCTGCCTTGTACACACCTGAAACACATGCAGTGAGTCTGTCACCTCAACAACAACAACAACAACAACAACAAGATTCCATTTATAGAGCGCCTTTCACGTCAGGAGGACGTCCCAAGGCGCTGCACAGTTGGGTCATGACCCGAGCAGGGGGGAAATGGTCAAGAGAGCAACTGAGAGACCATTTGATACCTATATTAAGAGAGAGTGGTAATGTAGGGGAGGAAATTGCAGATGCGTTAGTCATAATTTTCCAAAGTTCTATATTCGGGAGTTGTGCCTTGGATTGGAGAATTGCAAATGCCACTTCATCATTTAAGAAGGGAGGGAGGGAGAAACCAGGTAATTACAGACCTGTCAACTTCACTTCACTCGTGGGGAAGTCACTGGAATCTCTCATCAGGGATAGAGTGACTGAGTATGAGCAAGTCAAAGAGAGTCAGCATGGATTTGAGAGGATAGGTTATGTCTGATGAATCTAATTGAATTTTTTTAGGAGATCACTAACATGCTGGATAAGAGAGTGTTTATAGATATCGTCTGCATAGACTTTCTTTTTAGAAGGAATTTGATAAGGTTTTGCACAAGAAGTTATTAGCAAAAGATAAAAGCTCATGGAATCAGAGGTAACCTTGCAATGTGGCTTGGTAATTGGTTGGGAGGCAGGAAACCGAGAGTAGGGATAAAGGAACGTTCCCTGATTGTCGGATGTGACAGGTGGTGTAGCCCAGGGGTCTGTATTGGGGCCCGGGTTTTTCACCATATAAATGACTTTGATGAAGAAATAGAGAGGTTTATACAAAATTTGCAGGATGACACAAAGTTAGGAGGCTCAGTAAATTGTGCAGATGGGTGCAGGAAGATACAAGGGGACTTTGATTAAGTGAGTGGGCAAAACTGTGGCAGATGGAATTCAATGTGGGAAGTGTGAGGCCGTCAACTATGGATCCAAAAATAGCAAAACACAATATATTCTAAATGGCAAGAAACTAAGAACTGTGGAGGAGCAAAGGGATTTGGGTATCTGCGGAGACAAATCACTAAAAACAAGCCGCAAAATGTTATCACAAACGCTGATAGGATGTTGGCCTTTATCTCAAGGGAGCTGAATGGCCTACACCTGTTTATGGATCACTTCATCAATTTTTTGGGGGATCAGCTGAGTGTCTGAGACATGCTTAAGAAATATTGTTGGAATGGATTGTGCATCCCCTAGAGGGATGCATCCTGCTTGCCTAATTCCATGGAGTATTAGGTACAGTTTGGGGACCCCAGAGTGTGTGTTGGGAGTCTAACCAGCTAACACCACATAGTTTGCCATTGAAAGCGCTGTTTGGCGAGCTTTCACGCTGCTTGTCCAGCTGGATCACCCTATCCATTATTAAGGCTTTGGCTACAGGGTTAACAGGACCTGAGTGAGAGGATTCGACTTCAAGATCCTCACTTTGTGTTCAAATCCATTCACTCCCTGCCACCTCCCAACGTCTCTGACCGCCTCACTCCCCAATCCACCACTCAACACCTCCACTCAACTGGCACTGGCCTCCTGCTCGTCCCTTGCACCCTCCGCCCCAACATCGGAGGTCTCGCTTTCAGCCACTAGTCCCCCAAACTCTGGAATGCTCTTCCTCAATCCCTCTGCCTCATCCCCCATCCCTCCCCTCTATCAAGTCCTGCCTGAAGACTTTCCTGTTCGACTGTGCTTATGGCTACCTTCCCCCTCCTCCTGTCTCGGGAGTCAGGCTCCACCACTGTTAAGCGCTCTGAGATGGTGCCCTGCATGGGGGGGCGTTATATAAGTGCAAGTTGTTGTTGATGATTCCTTGTCCCCAGTGACTGTCATCAGCAGTACCCTGGAGCACTGCGGACCTGCCTGGCTCAGGAACTGGACAACCAAGACCACCACAATGGATCGGCTTGGTGCTGACAATCCACTTACCCCCCCCGCCAAGGAAGATAGTCAGTACTTGGTAGGCATGTGACAAACGCAGGTTTGAGCCTCACTGGATAGAAGGCAAGTGCCACTGTTAAACACTCTGAGATGCGTGAAGTGTGCTTTGTATATGTAAAGTTGTTGTACAATTCAGTGAGAAATATCAGGTCAGACTCACCGCCTTGGTGCAGCAGGTAGATGGGAACGATGTACAGGAGGACGTGCTGAATGTAATACACCTCGGTTTCAAAGGGGAGCTTCAAGGAGAGAGATCACATTTATATCAGAGGTCATCACAAGGGTCTCACCACTGAGGGACAGTTGTGAGGAAGGTGGGACTCTTTAGAATGCACAGGGTTAAGGGGCGACTGGATCGAAGATTTACAACTGGGATTGACTATTTCAGGAGTGCTGTAGCTCAGGGGTTAGAGAGCTCACCTCGCACACAAGAGGACCCAGGTTTGATTCTCAGGCATGGAAACCTTTAGGCAAGTTTCCTTGCTCCCACGCCTGGTTACCTAACAGTAAGTAAGTCTCAAAGCGCTTCACAGGACATACTCGCCTTCTGTGTGGTAGAGTGACAGCTGGCTCAGTGGAGTGTAGTGACTGTGTATTTTGTGGGCAAAATGTAGAGGTCAATTGCACACGGCAGTGTCCCACAAATAGTCAAGGGTTTTGTGACCAAATTATTATTTTTGGAGGGATTATTACCCCCGGAAAGTGATCCGCCAATTGCCTAACGACCGGGTCCTACTTACTGCTGGTAAACAGAGGCCTGTGTGTGGAGTAAGAAAATTTACTTAATAATAATAATAATCCTTGCATTTGATATAGCGCTTTTCACGTCGGGAGGACGTCCCAAAGCGCTTCACAGAACACACTGTAAAGTGAATTGACTGTATTTTTTGTGGGCGAACGCGGCAGCCAATTGCGCACAGGCAATGTCCCACAAACAGTCGTGGGTTGAAAATGACTAATTTATTATTGTTTTGGAGGGATTATTATTAGGCTCTGTGTGGAGTAAGGAAACTTGCCCAAGGTCTCGCCTGACCTGCCGGGGATTGAACTCAGGTCTCTCACTTGCAAAGTGAGTGCTCTAACCACTGAGCTACAGGACTCCACAAAGGTTTTGCCCTGACCGGGAATCAAACCCGGATTGTTTCGCTTGCAAACCCACTATGTTGCTGGACTCCACACGCTATGAAGACAGATCCCATGGGAGCGGCGTTCCCTGTGAGTGAGCAGCATGGAACTCTGACTAGCGTAAAATCAACCCATCACATCCCGCCACATGCACAAGCCCTGACACTCACCAGCCTGGTGTTGACGACAGGAAAGATCAGTGCCAGCAGGGCTCCATTCAGCATGTGCACATGTAACCTGTGGGTGAGCACAGGTTTAGACTTTAACAACCAATAATCGGCGGCACTGAGACAGCAACAACAAGATTACATGTGTGTATAGCGCCTTTCACATCAGGGAGGTCGTCCCAAGGCGCTGGACAGGAGTACAGCATTTCAGACCCGAGCTGCGGTTGGGGGGAAGGGGGGGCAGGGAGAGGGGAGGGGAAGGAGGGGTGTCCGATGGCACTATGGTCCGAAGAGGAGGGTCTTGAGGCGGGACTTTAAGGAGGCTAAGGAGGGGGCGAGGAGGGGGTGATTGGGGGGATGGAATTCCAGAGGTTGGAGGCAGAGTGGCTGCCAGTGGTGGGAGGGTGGGTCAGGGTGATGTGGAGCGGGCCGGAGTCCCTGTTGCCAAGTGCCGTGGTGTCACCTGGCTCAGTTACTCACACACTCGCCTGCAAGTCATAGAGAATCATAGAATATTACAGCACAGAAGGTAGGCCATTCGGCCCATCATGCCTGTGCCGGCTTTGGAAGAGCTGCCCGATCAGTCCCACATTGGGACACATTTTTTCATAGCCTTGCAAATTTTTCCTTTTCAAGTTTGACAGTTGTGCGTTCCCGACCTCTCACGTGGGGGGACTTTGAGCTCACAGTGCAGACTGATGATCGCTCCAGTGCAGTGCTGGGGGGGAAAGAGCGCTGCATTGTCATAGATGCCGTCTTCGGACGAGATGTTAAAAATATGTTTGTTTTTAAATGTCACCCAATCGCGCTGTGCGCTGCTGCGTTTCGTCCACAAAAATATAGTCAATTCACTTTATAATATATTGTGTGAAGTGTTTTGAGATGTCTGTATGACGTGACAAGGCGCTATAGCAAATGCAGGGATTATTATTGTTATTATATAGGCACTGGCGTGAGTGAGCGAACAAACAAACTGGGATTTGCTACATGCCAGCCATAAATCAACCCCGAGAACTCCAATTACAGCAACAGCCTGGCTCTCACACAAGCCTCTGGGCTACTCCCCAAGGCAATGGGCAGCTCAGCTCAAAGAGTGCGGTACAAAAGAATGGGAAACTCTGCTCATCTGCAAACTGTGATGTTACCCTCAGGCTATTGTATCCGCTGGTGTGACATTGTGTTACCCACTGAGGTCATCAGGACCTCCTCCTGACGAGAAAGGCACTATACAAATCTAATTTGCTGTTGAGCATTCAACCTCAGTGCTTCAGGGTATGAAAGACGATCTCTCACGTGTTGCAATGGGCACACCCTGTGATCTCTGGTTTCTCATCTGTGCTGTGTTGATGCCTGAGTTAGCTTGTTTATAATCCTATAATAATTATGATTATAATAATTGTTGCGTCATTGAGACGTCTCAAAGTGCTTCACAGAACATACTGTAAAATGGATTGACTGTGTATTTTTGGGTGAAACAATTATAGATTGAATCACCATTTTTTTTGGGGCAGTGGGGGGATGGATTATTCTCCCAGAAATAGCCAATGTCTTCTGTGAGCGTGTTCCACAATCCCACTTTGGGATGATCTCACGACCCAAGAACTTAACGTCATTAGACATCCTTTGAGACATCCTCCCGACCTAAACAACATAGTAAATTGTTGTTGTTTTTACTGGGTGATCTCACCTGAAGACGATCAGGGCAGCTTTACACGGTGGGCAGGCAAGCAGGAAAATCTGTAATAAAACACACACAGCCTGAGTGAGTAAGCCTCCTCTTTGACCGGGCCTTCAGCCTCACCCCCACTCTTCCAATCCAAGTTTAAAATCCTCGGCCTCACTTTTATCCTTCCACAGTCTTGCTCCTCCCTACCTCTGTAACCTGCCAACTGTCCGCTACTCGAGCGTTATTACGCCGCCATCCAGCATACTTATATCAAGGATGCGGTCATTGAGGCCTGCCATATAA